GCGTCTAGAAGCAGCAACAGAGTGTCGGCGCGCCAGCATCACACTCTTCATCCAGGCTTTTTCCCTCTTTCCCTCTCTCTCTCTCTCTCTCTCTCTCTCTCTCTCTCTCCGTCTCTCTCTCCAGAGGCACGCGCACGTTGGCACCAAGTGCAACAAGCCCTCCCAAGTAAGGAATTGCGAGCACCAGACCGACACGGCAGCAGTAGGCACTTGCCAGCCCACACCAAATCACACCCTGCTCCAAAACCCCATTCTTTCGGTTCAAATACCTCTCCGTACCCTGCCTGCTTGTCCATCCGTGCCCCCCTCCCCTCCATCGCCCCCATCATCCCGATCGCCCAACTCCTCGCCCTGGACCTCCGAGCTTCCCTCCCCCTGACCAGGCGTCTCGGACGTTCGCCTCCCCCTTCACTTCGGCCTCGATTTCCGGGTGCCGTCCATTCCCCCTCGTCGTGTGGGCAAGCAGCCTGACAGGTCCAGCCAGCTCTTCATCGCTGTTCCTTTGACAGACGCGGTACCTATCTTCCCCCCCCCCCCCCCGGCTCCTCCTCCAATCTCCTCCTCCAACAACCATGCCCTCGTCATGGCAAGGCATAAGGCAGTCTGCTCTCCCTTACCTCGAAACAACCTTTTAACCGTCACGCTGTTGAGGCTAGTAGAAGCCCCTGTCATCTTGTATCAGCACGACATCCGATCTGGGTTTAGCACGCCTCACCCGTGCGATCCTCGTCGCTGCCAGGGGACGAACCCCATCAAACCTCCCCCGTCCCTGACAGTGTCATGGTCCCGGAAAATAAGAATACCGACGCATCCTGTCTTTTGTTTTTCTTCCTCTTGTCGTGTCGCATCGAGTCGCAACATTCATGTGTAGAGCCAGGGACTAATAGGAACCGTCTCCATGCAGCATCACCCCCACCATCAGCAACAGGGTCCAGCACCTAACCAACATCTGCAACGGCAACCGCATCCCCAGCACCCGCGACCCTCGAGCGTGGTTCATCAGCAACACCACTCCCAGCCGCAGTCGCAACACCAACACCCTTCCGCCTACGCGCAAGGCCACTCCATCGCACCTGCCTACCACCAGTCCGCCGCTCAACCCAGCAGCGCACAGCATCCTCAAGACGGCAGTCTGCCATACTACACTCATCCGAGCCCCTACAGCACGCCCGGCGCGACCAGCGGATACACATCCGCAGGTAAGTCTCCAACCTGACATGACGACGCGTCGAGACGCGTTGTTTCGACCGTGGCCTCGGGGGTCGCTAACGATACTCTCTAGACACGTCCGACATGATGGCCGCCGCTCAAATGCCGAGACCACCTTACCCGCCCATGTCCTATCATACGCCGCAGTCCAACTCGCCTGCCTCTGTTGCCTCGCCTTCTCAGCATGATCAGCACCGAAGTATCTACGCGCAGCCGCCCTCGCAGCATCTCCAACAAAACATGTACTACCCGCCGCACCAGCCCCACTACCCGTCGATGCAGGCTCAGTCTCAGCAGTCGCCCTACGCGCAACACGCTGCACAGGCCCACCCGTCCATGCCGTCGCAGCAGAGTATGATGATGCCGCAGGCGCAGCAACAGCAGCAGCCTCAGATCCAGCAGCAGCAGCAACAGCAGCAGCAGCAGCAGCAACAATCATCCCAGCATGCTCAGGCGCAAGCGCAGGCTCAGGCGCAGATGGCAAACAGCCCCCGCCACCAGCACATGAAGCAGGAGCAGCAGCAGGTGCCCCACCAGCTGCAGAAGCCTCAGCCAGCCCCCATGAGCCACAGCCCGCACCCTCCGAACGGAACGGCTCTGTCCACGCCTACGGGCTCGACGTCGGGAGCTGTCAACCCCAACGCTGCGCCTGGCCCTATCCCCGCGACCACGCCCCTGGTCGTTCGTCAAGACCAGAACGGCGTCCAATGGATCGCGTTTGAGTACTCTCGGGATCGCGTCAAGATGGAATACACAATTCGCTGTGACGTTGAGTCGGTCAACACGGACGAGCTATCTGCCGACTTCAAGACGGAGAACTGTGTCTATCCTCGGGCCTGCTGTCCCAAGGACCAGTACAGGGGCAACCGACAGGTGTACGAGACGGAATGCAACACAGTCGGCTGGGCCCTGGCTCAGCTGAATCCTTCTCTGCGAGGCAAGCGTGGTCTCATCCAGCGTGCGGTTGACAGCTGGAGGAACAGCAACCAAGATCCGAGACTGCGGAGCCGAAGGGTCCGACGACAGGCGAAGCTCAACACGCGGAAGAGCGTATCACAGCCACCCCACCCCGGATCCCACATGCCCGGCCCTAGCCCGCCAGGCATGCCTCAAGCTCCGGGTGGCATGGGGTGCGGGAGGTGCAGCCAAGATGCCTGGAATGGGTAACATGGGTCACATGGGTCACAACACCGCTCCCGGAGGCGGGGAAGAAGTCGGTATGTTTCACCAGATGTGATGAGAAACCCTCGCGCTTGCTCTGCTGCGTTGTTTTACGCCCCGTTGTCTGTTGTTGATTGTTGCACTGCACCGCACAATACCCGACAACCCGAAGCCGTGTTGACTGCCTCTGTGATACCTACCCCTTCCTCCTCTCCCGCACCATCACTCACATCTCCTCTACCCTCATCACCGCCACGCACGCGCGCCTGTGCCAGAGATACCCTCGTGGTGACAGAGTTCGACTTCGGCCTCTGCGCCCTTTTGTTCACCATCAACCTTGCACACACTCTTGTCCTCTCCTTTTTCTTCTCTCTTTTTTTTTCTCGCTTGGTTCATCAGATGTTCGGGAATGGGTTTGTCGCTATCCTCTTTTTTATGCATGCCCTACTGTGTTATATCACTCGGCTGGTTAAGGGGAGAATTGTCTGTCCCCCTCCCTCCTCCAGCCATGACCAGATCACAATCAGTGTCGCTTGTTGCAGCAGAACCCCGCGCGTGCGCGCTGGACAGGAAGGAACAATTTTCTTTCTCTCTTCGGCACAGACCTGTACATTACCTAGTTGCACACAGTTGCTGCTGCTGTTAGTCCTCTGCCCGATCTGTCAGGCTGCACTACTGTCTCCTTCAGAAGGGCATTCCGACGGGTCTCTGGCATAAAAGTCGCATTGCTTCAAGTTTTGGCACACACATCCTTATTGCATTCCAGAGCCGCACTGCTATCGCGAACCAATCACTCACTCAAAAACCTCATTACTTACCAAGGCCACAAGCTGGCTGACCTGTATTTGTCACGACCCTTTTGTATCCGCCCGTCGCTTACCCACATTTCGTCCCCCGCAACCCCATGGTGTTGCGCTCTGATCCAGAACAATCCGTACTGTTTTGAGTTTTGTCGATCATACACGTTTTGTCGTTGGTCTTGCTTGATCGACGCCACATGATATCTCCGAGACACACGGGCTGACTGTTTCTCTTGCAGGCGATGACTACATGGACGACCAGCAAGGTCATCACCACCACCATCAAGCCCCAGCCGGCCAACCCGGCGCCGCTGGTGACGACGTGAGGCAATCACAGGTATTCAACAGCAGCGGTTATGGTGGCCACTCGGCCTACCCCGCCCCCAACCAGGCCTCCATGCCACACATGGGCAGCGCCCCTCATGGCGGCCCCATCACGGCTCGTCGTCAGAGCCGCAGCGAGCCCGATGAGCCGGAGAATCTGTTTCCCAACATTCCCGAGGCCAAGAAGCGCAAGTTCATCCTGGTCGAAGACAACGTCCGTGGCTCCCGTCTTCGCGTCCGTGTGACTCTCGACGGCGTCGACACGCGCGAGATCCCTGATTCTTTCCGCAAGGGGTCCTCTGTTTACCCTCGCTCGTACTTCCCCCGCGAGATGCAGAGTCCACCCCCGTCGGCAACCGGCTCCAAGTTCTTCATGGACGACGCCGAGGACGAGGATGACGGCATCGAGGAAACTGACAGCCACGGCGGCCGCCGGGCCCGTGGCAACCTCACCAGGATGGTCAAGGTGCCTATCGGCGAGAACACCGAGGCCGAGGTGGCCATTCCCAGAATGAGGAAAGCCATGCGTGGCAAGGAAGTGCGATTGAATGATCTGGGCTACCGCATGGCCTGGCTCCAAAGTCGTGTCTTCGCTGGGCGCACCGTCTTTCTGCAGCGAGCCCGTGAGTCCATCCCCGCTGTGTGATCTAACCTTTGCTTTTACTAAGACGTGTGCACAGTCGACTGCTATCGCAACAAGACGCGATCGGCCATTGAGTCCATCATGCAGGACGTCAAGGTGCTCGCACCTCACTACGAGACCCGCGTCGGCAAGCGGCGCTGGAACGATCGGATGCGGAAGGGCGAGAGCGACGAGTAACCTACGGCGGCCCGCCTTTCACTCATCATCGGGCTGGGCAATCAGCCATTGACCTCGCCGCTCGCTCCATTTCATTGCTCATCTACAAATATCGTTATCGCCACGACCGTTTCATTTCCCACTTTCTGGTCCCCCGACATCTGATACCCGCATGGCATGGCACACGGCCCTTTGAGGCTTCTGCATCGGCAAGCGTCAGCATTGTTGAGCGACTGCCATTTTCAAATCTATCACGACTCGATGCCTGTATTCATATCCCACCCCTCTACTTCCGTCTAAAACATGGGGAAAAGAAAATACTAGAGGATGCAAAATAAGGTCAGGGCCCTACTGACGATCCGCAAACAATTGGTGGAGAATACACTTTGCCGTCATACATACACTCTGCAACATAGACGGCTCGCCCTGGTCTGAATCTCAAAATAGATCACGACAATATATCAGGGCAGCTTCGTTCTCTACGACAGCCTCAATTGGGCCTTGGTTCGTCGATTTCTCTTTCGCAATGCAATGCAACACCGAGTCTTTCTGTTCCAAGGTTCTGTTTCTTCGTGGTTTTTGCGTTATCTGTTGGGTCTAATCTTGTCGTTTCGGTTGAGAAGAGCAGAGCGCGAGGAAGGGTAATGAATCGGAACAACGCTATGAGAGCTGACATGCGTCGATTGAAGACATTATCCATCATGGTAAATTTTCGTGCCTCTAGCTTATTCTTTGGCTTGCCATAAACTTGGCACTACAGTCTTCTTGGCTTCTGGTTCGGCTTGGTAGTTTGCACGAATACATTTTTGAGATGTCTTTGGCCTTCTTCTTCATACTGTGATGACTTTTCAGCTTTGACAGTAGATAAAATCGTGATACTGGCTCTACTCCTAGGTGATGCGCCATTCTAATACTCATCTCCAAGTCTCATCATGTTCTTCACGTCGTATGCACATCGGCTTCGGCGGCGGCCTTGGGGGCGCGCTCGCCCCTCTGGAAGATGTACAGGGCCTCGTCCTTGCCCGCGAAGCTCGGGAGAGGGACCTGCACAATCTTGGTCCAGTCGCTGTGCTCCCTCTCCATGTACTGGTCCATGGTCATGTCCCTGAAGCCGGTGTAGCCGTTTGCGTTTTGGGTGCCGACGACGGCGATCGTGTCGCCCTCGTAGGCGGCCACGAGGTCGCGGGTGAAGCCGCCCTCGACGCCGCCGGGGACGCCGCCGCCCACGACGGGGGTACGCAAAGATTGAC